GCAGGAAACTTATTCCCATATCTATTTCAAGCACCTAGAATAGTTTCTGGAACATAAATATTGGTTGAATGACTGAATGAAATAGAGCAGCTGATCCTTTGTTAATATAGACTGGAGAGCCAGCTGATTAGTCATCGCTTCCAAGGTTTAGACTTCGGGGTCCAATTTTCTGAAGGTTACACATATTCACATTTCTCCTGATTTACTGACTCTACATATACACGGTGCTGGTAACAGTGCATAATAATGAAATAACTGGCAATATTTTTCTCACAAGTTGAAAAATATTTTATTTGGATTTTGTGAATTTGCCAAAAAGTCAGACAGTTGCTTATATTATACTCAAAATTTTAAATTTTTAAAATTTAAATTTAAATTTAAATTCTAAATACCAAGACCCTTTTGAGTTTTGTGATTGCAGAAGATGTCGGATGGCATCATCATTTCAGAGTGGTGATTCATGATTTAATATAGGCTGACAAGCTGGAGCCCCACAACAGCAACCTATAAAGCACAGGTGTCGCACTTGAAACAGTAGGGTCTTCTAGGGGCCTCTGTTTGCAAGGCTTTAATGAGTATTACCTTTGGACTTGAGAAGTGAGGGCAGTAAAAGCAAAGTTAAGCCTTGAAATAAAGATCTGTTTGAAATCAAAGGGTTTCTCGTGGACCAAATGGCACAGATACAAATGCGTGTCTCCTTCTGAGGTCCTGTTTATGCTGTCTTCGTGTGGAAAATACATCCTAAACCTTCCTGGCGGCCAGCCTACTAGAAGTTGGGGCGTGTGTGGGGCACCCGTCTGTTTTACCAGTAGCTGATCTCAGATTTACATGCTTCTAAGCTGAAGCCCCGAGCTGTCAGGATGCTGCAAAACTATTCAACTCTCTTATTTCAGATTTTGGGGCAGAGAGAGAAGATACCATTTCTCTGTAAGAGCCTGTATTTAAGTTGAAATGTAGCCTTCGTGTCGGTCTTGGAAAGATCATACGTTCTTAAATAGGGTTCTATCCAATTCAAACTCAGCATTGTGGAGCTTGGCAGCAGAACCCCTCCTGGGGCTCGAAGGCTTTGCAGATTCAGAACTTGCTACCTGTTCCGCTGGGAAGTTTTCAGCCAGGAAGAACAGTGGACAGTTAGTGTTGTTCTTGGCTACATGTGGTACTCAGCCCCTTCAACAGGAGAGAAGGTCAGAAAACAAATCACGCAGCAAAAAAAAAAAAGGATGGGTTCACAAGCACAGCGACAGTGTCTGGGTGCAGCTAGCAGGGAATTCGCAACAGAGGAGGAAGGAACTATGGTGGGAATCTGGTCACGGCCGTTTGCATGTTTTTTAAACCTCCTTCATCTAAATTAAACCTTACAGGTAAAACAAAATTCTGCTTTGCAATCACTTTTAAAGATGGCAACATTGCTTCATTATCACAATCCTCGCCTCTGGGTCAGCACGTGGCCCGGTCTGTCCACACCAAGGGGCATTATCAGTCTCACCGGCCCTAGTTCTTTGTATTTGCTTTGTAAATTTGGAGTAGGAATTAGGACAGGCAAGAAAAGGATTGCATTCTGGGCAACGATGCCTTTACAAGGCCCGCTGTAGAACCTAGCTTTGGGTTGGTTCGCCTGTGAGGTGCTGGCGGAAGCCGGGGGACGGCCCCGCCTGCAGAGGAGGGCAGGCCACCACGCCTACGGAGGAGGCCTTCCAGTGAGACGCTCCCAACTCGGGCTCAGACGCGACAAGGAGATGGCACTGGACTTCAGCACAGTATCTCCCGTGTGGCCACCTTCTGCTGGCGTTGGGCGAGGGTGACCTCTTAGGGCCCCTCAAGAGTCAGCCTGACAGAAGGAGGTGCCAAACCAGCGATTACAGTGGGTACAGCCATCTGCCGTGTAACACGGCATACGCGGTCCTAAAAAAAAATAATCCCTGGATGGTGGAAGTTTGCACTCCCAAAATAACAGGGATTATGGGAAAAGGGGAGTTGGGGCAGGAAGCTCAGACCTTGTACCATCTTGGGATACAAGAAAACTATCATAATTTTAAACGTAACTTCCTAATAAACATGATAGTAAATATAGAATGTTGTTTTGACAAGACATGACGTTTGCTTAGTGGAGGTGTTTATAGTGAGGGGTTGTGGCTTTTGAACTACGGAAAACAGGTAAAAGGAAGATTCCAGTTTTTCGAATGAAATGGGATACTGGAGGTAGATGGCTGTGGTCCTGGCCCTTGCCCTGGTTTTCGTCCCTCTGCATTGGCTTCAAATGGAAATCCGACTTTTCTGGTTTTGTTAGTTCCCACCTCTCATAAAGAAGCTGTTTGTGTGACCCCAATGAGAGGAGACGAGTGCTCTCGTGCTGCATCGGATTTGGGGTTACCTTCAACCCCCAGCAAATGAGCGCTTTTCAGGCTTCAGCTGCCTGGAAAACAGGTGATTCTTGGGAAGTTAAGATTACGCTCTTGCCTCTTTTGTTTTCAGTGTTGCCTCCTCTGTTCATGAGTGTGCTTAAGGCCGACTGCCGCCTGCAACAGCACACTCTCGTTTCAGAGCTTTGCGATGCCTAAGGCTTTTCCTTTGCTGCGGATGATCAGGACATCCTGTGTTTTCCTGAGAGAATCCAGTAGGCGATGCACTTGGGGAAAACTGAGAGAGGTGTTTTCTATTATTCTACCGCCGGTCCATTATGCGCAGCTGGATGGTGTTTTTCACGTTTACCTGGTGTTAGCTAATAGTGCAAAACTGCGTATGAACCAATACAAATTTGGTTTTGGTGATTTGATTCCTTATTTATCTGCACCAATTTGCACATTACACATAGCCATTATATATATATTTATCTATATCTATATATATCAGCTTTCTTTTCCTTCCCATGGGACTCTTGAAATAATTACGGTTTCCTTCTTTTTCTGTAAGAAAACAAAAGTTCTCTTTTGTTTCTTCTATTCATTTCAGTCATGACTTCAGTAGGAGCCACGATTCCAGGGGTCGGGCTTGTCCTCCTCCCTGAGGTTACTGGGGCCCCTACAGCGAGTTGTGATTCCTGCTCGGCTACCTGTGGCGCTCTCAGGACACGTACAGGTCAGGCTGTTAAAACTCCAGAGCAATGGCAAAAGGGCAGTAAGGTCTATGGAAGGCCATTTACAGAGTGCAAAGGCCTCCCTGCTCTGCTTTTCTCCATATGCAAAGTGGAGTTAGCACCTAACGGTGAGGAGGAGCAACTCAGTCCACCAATATAGCCTTTGTTTAGGTCTAGACGGTTCTACAGGGTCAGGCGGCCCCTCCCCCACCAAAGGGGCTCTCCCACAGCAAGTGAGAGTGAGGTTTATGGTGATCAGTGCCCATATTCTTACTGAGTATGATGAGGACTGGGCTCACTGTTACTGTAGAGCATGTTGCTTCAAATCCTGCAGTTAGAAACCAAGGCTTTTTTTTTTTTTTTTAAGATTTTATTTATTTATTTGAGAGAGCGAGAATGAGAGAGAGAGCACGCACATGAGAGGGGGGAGGGTCAGAGGGAGAAGCAGACCCCCCGCTGAGCAGCAGGGAGCCCGATGCGGGACTCGATCCCGGGACTCCAGGATCATGACCTGAGCCGAAGGCAGTCGCTTAACCAACTGAGCCACCCAGGCGCCCCCAAGGCTTTCTTTAGTGAGCCTTTCTCAATCCAGAAATACCTGCCGGGCATTGTTTTAGGTGTTCGCGCTACACCAGACTAATTTCCTCTCTATTAAAGCTACTGCATCAGGAGCTGGAGGCTTATTTCATATTGACTCACACCTACAGTTACCACATCACAGGGAAGGGAGGGGGGTGCTTCTTTTTTGGTCCAACGGTTTAAAATAGAACTGCCACTTCCTTGCGATTGGTAGCTGTTGACCTGGACCAGGCTATGCTTGCTTTATTATGGAATTTGTGATACAGAAACGTAAAGACTCACTTTTTCTCAGCGAGCAGTGGCTAAGTCCATGGGCTTTTGAACCAGACTGCCTGGACTCAAATCCTGATGACCACTCAGCAGTTCACTTCTGTGACCTTGGCCAAGTTACCTACCTTGTTGCTACTTCGGCTTTTCTGTTTTTAAATGGGGAGGGTTACCTTATGTACATTAGAGTTGCTGTACGTATTACATGAATTTATATAAAGCTGTTGTGTTTGGCAAGTTGGCAGATGCTTCCTAGCAATACTTCCTCTTTAATTTTAGTTACTGTTTTCCTCTACCCATACTTTCTTACGTCACAGCTCAAACAGAGTTAATGTCCACACTCTGACACCCAAGGGCACTTATTTACAAGTCGATCTACAGCTCCTTTCCAGTAGACTGTATGTGCTCTTTGCTGGGGCAAGAGGTGCTGGGGGAAGACACGTGTGATTTCTATTCTCCCAACACCTAGCACTGTGCCTGGCAAATACCTGTTTGCTGAGTGAATGGGAAAGGTCGTCTGAAATTCACTCCTTGACTGGCTAGGACAAGAGAAGAAAAAAAAACCAAAAAAACAAACTCCCACAAAAATGCCCAAATACAATGGCTCCGCGTCTTAATTTCTCAAGAAGAGATTCCGCTAGGGATATTTATCTCAGCAGTCCAATCTAAGTGCCCCGCACTGAAGTGAATAGGAGCCAACAGGAGAAGATCCGGAGACACCGTGCAGGGGTCTGAACGTGGTAGCACAGGCAGGGCAGTGAGATTTCCAGGAAGCAGACAGGCAACAGTTTATTTGGGGGTCATGGAGACCAAGAGCTATATGGGAAAAAGATAATTGCGCTTTGTACATACCTCAGTGCAAACCTTACCCTTCTGAGCTGGGAGGTTAGCTGTTTCAGTTCAGGAAAACTGAAAGTGGGCCTTGTTTTCCCCGGGGCAGGGGGATAGAACAGTGACGGCGGAACTTGAGGGAATCTGCACCGACGGGCACTTGTTGGCAACTTTACCTGCACCTAGGTTTGTACCTAGGTACAAAACTAGGGTTTGTGTTTTTGTTAAATGAAAAACTGAACAGTTAAACAAGTTAGCGATTTTATTCTTATCACATACAACATTCAAATTGGACTACATAATAAAATAATTCTATAAAATAATGTATCTATCGAAGGATTATCACCTCCTGATTTTTCTCCACAAGCTTTCAGTGCCCAAGACAAGTTCCTTGTCAAAACGCAGCAGCTGCCTCACTCGGCCTGTAGCTTGGGAGAGACTCATCAGGAAGAAGCTTCAGTCACCACATGGCTCTTTCCAGCAATTTTCATTCTCCTAGAGTCGATAATCTTCAGGTCTGAAAGACAAAATCAACATTTCTTTCTTTATGAATCATCCTATCATTTTCTCCTGCCTGATGAAGGAAGATTATTTTTCAATTTAAAATGAAAGTAACTGTTCATTGAGAAATTATCTATAAGCATTAGATTTCTGGTGAAAAACACTAAAGCCAAATCATCGTGAAGTGACAATTCCCAAGCTCTTTCGAGAGTATAAATATAGGCTGCCTTGTGCCTGTGCATGAATGTTCTAACTTAAAAACTTCAAACAGAAAAATTCAATTTCTGTTCTATTTTTATTTTTTTTTAAGATTTTATTTATTTGAGAGAGAGAATGAGAGAGAGGGAGAGCACATGAGAGGGGGGAGGGTCAGAGGGAGAAGCAGACTCCCCGCTGAGCAGGGAGCCCGATGTGGGACTCGATCCCGGGACTCCAGGATCATGACCTGAGCCGAAGGCAGTCACCCAACCAACTGAGCCACCCAGGTGCCCTCTGTTCTATTTTTAAATATACTTTCTTAAAGATTTTTTCACAGAAAGGACTGCTATGATCTTTAAAAATCCATATAAGCATATGGATTTGCCTAATCAAGGCCATTTTTGAATGAGTAATTTCCCTAGTTCTATTATTTTATCATGCTAAATTTATTTTTCATTATGCTACAAATACAAAATAAATGTATAAACACCAGGCCTTTGATATTTTAATTACATACAAATAACTGGTCTTTTCCTGCATTTATAGGATTAATCATACTTGAAAGTTACTTCCGGTAGTAAAACAAAAAACACGTTTTTTTAGGGAAATGTTAAATCTTAACAGTGGAGAAAATGAAGAACAGGAAATTACAAAATGCAAAAAAATGTTCAAGTGTCATTTTATCTTTTCCATAGGTGTATTTGTAGGTGTTGAGCTCCCATGGGATTTTCAGAAGGAGGTTTGTAATCAGTAGATTAAATAGATGTTTTTGAAACAGCTGTAAAAATATTCGATAGTTTGAGTTCCTTTAAAAAGTAGATGAACTCTGTTTGCCCTGAAATAACTTATCTAGTCCCTTTCTACACTCACAGCATGTTTTCTTCAACAGAATACTCACCAGATACCAGAGAGCTCATCTATGAAGACCAACAGTCTAGTGGCTGAGTAAATAAACTGCATTATAATTTAAAGTTATTATTTAACTCCGAGGAACACAGGCTCTGATCTGGGAAACCAGCCAAATATGTTTCACCATATCAGCCGTTCTATAACAACAAGAGGAGAAACTGCAGAATTTTGTCACAGTTTTAGAAATCTCCTTCCAAATGTAAAAACTGCATCCAAAGTCTGGGAAATAACAGTGTGGTCCGAGAGCTGAATGTGGCTCCAAACTGCATCCTTTTAATCTTTGGCTAGTGACTCAAATCAGTGGAAGCAGTTCCCAGTCAAGAGACACCGGCACCTTTCAAGAAACCACTTCTTCTGTCGACCTGGTTCATGTAATTATGACTAAAGGGTGGTGATGATGCCATCAGAAAGGAATCTTCTAAGCTGAGGTCCTAACAAGAAGTCTCTGCAACTAACTCCACTCGATAAAACTAAATGTGCTTAGTCTAGTTGTTTCCACACCAAAGGTTAATTTATTAAGTAACAATGAGATGACAAAAGGACCTTTTGGTGGGATTTACAAATAAAACTGGAAATGTGTGTGAAGGGTGTAATCCGTGATACAAGGTATGTAGTAGGTAGTGACCTGAAAGCTCTAGGGGGCTACTAAGGCCCCAATCTGTTTCAAGAAGATCTTCTGGTGGGAACAGAGGAGGATGAAGAAGAGGGCTGTGTCGGGGCTGTGGCAGTGATGAGTGAGAAGAAAGGACAGGTTCAGGATTTAAGAGGCAGAAAAGTACCATGTTGGTGGGGAGAGGGTGGGAAGGGACGGGGAAAAGGGAAGGGGCCAGGGAGATGGAGGAAGAAGGAGCTACTAGAAAATGAGGATTCAGGGATGAGCCCCGATTTTCAGCTTGAAGACCTCTGTGGATGGCCATGCTGCTGATCTCTTCAGGATAGGGAATACAGGCAGAGGAACAGACTGGAAGGGGGGAAGGATCTTGGTTTTGAATATGGTAAGATTTGGACATAACAGGCAGCTAGCAATTAGGACGTGGAGTTTAGGAGAAAGGGGGCAAAAGGGGAGACCTGTCAGAGTCTCTCCCACAGATTCCTTCTTTTCCATCCCACTTCTGCCTATCAAGTGGCCCTGCCTAAAAAATCTTCAGTAGTCCTCCACTGCTTTGTCACAATTCGAACAGCCCCGAAACCAATATATACCCCTCCATGACATGGCCTCAGCTAACATTTCTGAGTTATTCCTTCTACATCCCATTCCTTTACATTCTGATCCCATTACACTACCCGCTACTGCCCAGGTAAAAACTTTCATACCTCTTGACTTGGGTACTTGAGCTTTTTTCTGCCTGGTAGACTTGACCTATCCTTCAAAATCCACCTCAAAAATCACATCATTTGGGTAGCCCTCCACGACCTTCCTTTCTAACTTAGGGCTCCTCTTTGTGAGACTGCCAGAGAATCTCATGTATACTTCTATTATACAGTGTTTCTCAAATTATACTTAACTTTATTTATGTAAATAAATGTTATTTATGTAAGATGTGCTGAATGCTTATTAGATGCCATGAAGTACACCAACTACTTCACATGCATTATCTCATTTTATTCTCATAACTACATTGTGAGAAAGACACTTTTATCAATCCCATTTTATAGTTGACAATACTGAGACTCAGAGAAGCTGGGTGACTAGCCTAAGGATACACAGCTAGGAAGTGAATGGTAAGCACCTAGTGCAGACCTTCTGACTGCAAGTGCTTGCACGCACGATTTTATTCTATCACTTCTAGTAGGCTGTTGGTGCCTTTGAAGGCAGGGTCCCCGTATAACTGAGATTATGCCTCCAGCAATTAGCACAGTGCCCAGCATAGAGTGGCTATCTGTAAGATATCTGTCATTACAGTACAGTGACTGCCTTGAAAATGCCACTTTGTTTTACAAACTCATCCTTTCCTTTTTTTACGGACGGTAGTCAGGATCTTTTATGGATTGTTAATTTGCTTCCAGGAGGGGAAAACAGTATCATGGCCAAGGGACTAGGTACTTTAGATGTTGGCAGAGCCAGAAACATCAACTTATACTGGAGGCAATTAATGGTATTACATGGCATGCAGTAGGTACCCTTGTGGGGAAAAGTGAGGCTTGTACATTAAATACGGTTTTATTTCTCCGCACGCACGTGCACACACAAAAGCAGGCACACATCCAGTGCGTTTATGCTGCTTACCTTCTCCCACTAAAAGGAATCCAAGGTAAGAAAGGGGAGGGGAGGTCTATTGACCTGAGTGCTTCTCCAACTTCAGTGGGCATACACATCGCTTGGGCTCTTGTGAAAATGCAGATTCAGATTCAGTTAATCTGTAGAGGGGCTCATGATTCTACATTTCCAACAAGCTCCTATATGCTGCAATGCTGGTCTATGGACCACAGGATGACTTAGCAAGGGTTCACCTTAGACCTCCCCCACAGAGCTACTCATAAGACCGAGGGGATGACTATTTGAAGATGCTGAAGAAGCAAATGCAGTAAATTTCTAAAACTACGCTGTGCCTAAGAGAAGGTAACATACTTCTTCCTTAGCCAGAGGTGATTCCGTTTGCTATACAGTATCCTTCACAGCTCTTTACCCAGAGAGGACTTTATTGACAGGCAGTTTTAAGCTTTTCTGATACAATAATAATTTTAAATTATGATAACATGTACTAATGAGGCTGGATACTGGAATTCCTTTGGTATCTATCATCAAAGAAAGATTAAATTGTAGTCCATGTAGTTACTAGATTAAATAATTTTTAAAAGCAAGACACCTGGCATTTAATAAATTGCTTTTCATAGTATGGATGCTTAAATGTTGTTTGAAACTTTAGTGAACTTAAATGAAATGACTTAATCCTTTGCTAAAAGGATGATGAGCAAATTTATATTCTATATTTATTTGCCTTAGTTCTTCATTGCTGTTTCAGTGCAAATAAAAAATCATGAAGTTTTAAAATAAAAGATAATCTTATATAAGGTTAATGTTTTTGTAAATAACAGTATTCTAAAATAATCTCAGGAAATCTTTAAAGAGACATTTCAAATGCTGTTACAGAAAACTAATCTCTATTAATTTTTATAGAAATGTTTTCCTTGACAGAAGTTATATTTTAACAAAATTACCATAATCTTTTCTTTATATATGTAACACAAAGTATCCAAAACTAAATATATCAGAGTTACACTAAAGCACAGACAAGGAAAATTTCTATTTTAGCTATAACTATTAAGCAAGCTTTAAGAAAGAAGCAAAGCCCAAAATATGAATTTACCATACTTCATGAATTAGAAGTCAATTCCTCTTTCAGGGAGATAAGATTCCACTCATTTATTCATTCAACAAAGATTACTGAATGTCAGGTCTACCTGTGGGCACTGGGAACACAGCAGCAAGCAAGACAAAGTTCTGTCTGTAGACCGTGCATTTTCTCATAGAGGGAGATGCACACACACTCACACACAGACACACATATGTACACTTTGACCTCTGAGGTGAAAGCTAAAAGTGTTAAGCTTTCATACATAATATTTAGGGTAATTTGGGAGATTAATGAATCTTCAAAGAATTAGCCAACATTAAGACTTTCCTTAATTCATTTTCTAAATTGTGCTAAAATTACACAGTTACTAAATATTCTATAGCAATAATTCATTTTGCACTTAATACTTGTCACTAGCAGAAAACTGCCTTCAAACACTATGGTTTTTAAAAAAATCATACCACCTCTCACAAAATTCTCAATTTTCTATAGCAAATCCTTTATCACTGACATCCCTATGCACAATGTTGCCAGTCACTCACTAAATGAAACAGGCAAAATACCGCCACTCATTAAAATTTAGGACAAAAATTGACAGAGGCCAACACATTTT